GCGATCCCCATTTGACGAAAGATTGTGACTTAGACGAGAATGGAAATAAGAAAGCCTAAGTGTGCTACTCGAGTGGTGATAGATACGATGAGGATTAGAGAAATCTAAAACGAGAGTGGAAACCATACGATGAATACAAGATAGAAAAAAAAGGAGAATTATAAACAACAAGGTCGAGGGTTTTAAGAACAAGAGAAATCGGTGCCCAAAAAGAAACCCGATCTCCAGTCAATCCTAACCCGATTTGTTGAAGCAAGCGAGAAAAGTCATAACGATGCCGACGTAGCCCTCAAATAACAACAAGCTTCATTACGAGACCAACAAGAAACATTAAAAGATCAACAAGCCACATTACAAAATCAGCAAGAGTCAATCCTTAATATTGAGAAGCAAGTAGGACAATTAGCTCAACTTTTACATGAGCATTTACCGGGTACCTTTCCGAGCAATACCAAAGTCAACCCACGAGCTCACGTACTAGCTGTTTCTACTCATGGAGATGAAAAGTCTAAATCTTTGGTGATCATTAATGCTACTCAAACATCCAACGACCAACAACCAGGGAAAGAAGTCAAAGAGAATGAAAACAAAAATGCATCTTCCCAGAGTCCACGATGTGGTGAGCCCACTACCATGTCGTGGCCTGCACAGAAAAGTTACGAAGTCCCGTTTGTGAAGCTGTATCAACTGCCACTGTCATATCTCGTAAAAAAAGGCAAGTAGAATTAGAACAAGAGCATAAGAAATTTATGGATCAAATGAAAGCTCTTTCAATCAAAATGCCATTTATCGATGCGATTGCTCAAATGCCAAAGTATATAAAGTTTCTCAAGGATCTTCTTATCAATCAAAAGAAATTAAAGCAAGCCTCAGAAGTTATCCTAAACGAGCAATGTTCAACAGTGGTAACAAATATGAATAATCCGAGCAGCCTTATAATTCCTTGCAAGTTTGGAAATTCAATAAAGACGAACACACTTGTCGATTCTGGAGCTAGCATAAATTTGATGCCATATTAGTTTTTCAAGAAAATCGATCTTCTAGAGTTAAAGCCAACAAGAATGGCTATCTATATGGCCAACCGATCTGTCACATATCCATGAGGTATAATAGTAGACTTACTCGTTAAAGTTGACAAATTCGTTTTCCGACCGATTTTTTTGTCCTTGATATGGAAGAAGACGGAGATATTCCCATCATTCTTAGGAGGTCATTCCTTAGTACCGCACGAGCCCTCGTCAATATTCACAACTTTATTTAACATCGCGAGTGGGGTCCAAAGAAATCACTTTGGATTCGATCAAACAAAGTCTTTTGGTTCTAATCAAAGATTTTAAGTTTCAGATTTGGAGATAAAGTATCAAAAGTTTGATATCGTTTGAATCACTGTTCAGTATTGAGATAGATTGGAATTATCGGATCACTGAGGGTACTGATGATGATTCAAATACTACCCTTGGTTAAGCTTTGGAAGGTAAAAGTTTGTTTTTGTCGGAGTTGTTCATTTTTTGAAAGATATTGCACGTGTAGTGTGACACCTGTTCCAGGTATTGATTAATTTATATGATTTTTAGGGTTTTGTGCATGGGCTTGGCGAGTTGGGGTGCTCCAACTCGTTGAGTAGAGACTATTATGAGGACGCGTGATTCGGATTCTACTCGACGAGTCGGAAGGCCCCGACTTGACGAGTAGGAACTGTAAAGAGAAACCCTAATTTTTAGGGTCTGTACCCTATTTAAAGAACATAATCCACCTCTTGTGGCCTCCCTTATCACCCTACTAGCCAGAGGAAACCCTAATTCGACCTTGTACCTTCTTGAGTGAGAGTAAGAGCTTTTGTTAGCAATTTTGGGGTATTTGTGAAGGATTCTAGAGCTTGAATAGGAAGGAACAAGGAGAGAAGCAATAGATCCAACATCTACTCTGTATTGGCCATCATCTTGAGGTATAAAGTCGTCACCTTGATCTCTAGTTGAGTAGATCCCTTTTCTTGGAAGTAAATGACCATTTTTGGTGCAAAATGGAGTCAAACTCGGATCTAGACTTATCACAAGGATATGGTTCCAGATCTGGACCTCTCTAGGTCCCCAATGACATAAAGTTGCTCACTTTATATAGCTTAGACCCTTTCCATGCACAAAAACCTTGTAAGAAGCCTATTTTCGATGTTATGGCCTTGAAGGGCCTTGCATGCATGTAAAGTTTGCAACTTTACGTGGTATTTGCACTAGGAGAGTTTGGATCTGGAGTTTGGGACCTTAGATCCCACTGAAAATGGATGAACTTGAAAAGGACTGAAGAAACTCGTCGAGTCCCTTAGCTGACTCGACGAGTCGGGGTAGGGTTTGTCAGTCTCTGAGTTTCTGGATAGGTGCAGTGAAGGATTAGGGTTTTGGTCTGAACGGAGTTTAGCTTTCTGGACATTTGATGAACTCGACGAGTCACTAAGGTGACTCGACGAGTTGATACGGGATTCCGTAGAATGATAACGGGAGGAACTCGACGAGTTGCTAGGATGCACTCAACGAGTTGAGGTCAACATGGACTGTTGACCTTGACTGTTGACTTTGACCAGGGTTGACTTTGAGGGTAATTATGGGATTATAACAAGTTCATCACATGTGGGTTATAGGCAGTGAGGAGGAGCAGTGTGTGGGATACATCTGATCTTAGCCTTCAACTCAGCATTCGAGATGCGAGTCTCCTCACCATACCAATGGGTCTAAGGCACAAAGGCCGGCCCATTTTATGATATGTGGTATCCTAGTTGAAGTTGTATTATGTGGCATGTTAGTTGGTATGAGCTAGGAAGAAGGCTAGTGGTATATGTGGTATGTTTGTATGGAAGACCATGGGAGAGCCCATGACACTTGGATGTAAGACCATATGGAGATCCCATGGCTTTCCTATCGAAGATCATGGGAGAGCCCATGACACTTAGGTGTAAGACCATGTGGGGAGCCCATGACATCCTGGAGTAAGACCCTGGGGACGAGCCCAAGGCATCCCTATTTGTTGTATGCATGGCTTATGTGATATATATGTAGCTTTTATAGCTAATATGATATGTGTTATGTGGATTGTGTGTGGGGTATGCTCTGAGGAACTCACTAAGCGTTAGCTTACAGTTTGTGGATTTGTTTCAGGTACATGTGAGCCCAAGGGCAAGGGCAAAGCTTGATGGCGCGGTGTGCACTCTCTCTCTCAGTCGTTATCATGGGACACTCTGATGTTTTAAAATAAAAATTGTTGTTGTTATGAATTTGAAAACAATTGTATTTGGGATTACGTGATTGATGGAACGTGTTTTGGTTAATTAAAAATGAAAAATTTCTTTTGAAAATTGGGTCGTTACATGTAGTTGCGGTTGCTGCAACTTTATCTTATTGTTGTTGCTACAAAGTTCTTTCAAACTTCATTGCTATTATTGGTGGAACCCCATATTGCTAATATCAGTTTGAAATCACCCTAATTGATTTTTAAATTGTGTAAAATGACATATTTTCGTTCTTGTGTGTTTTTATAATGCTTTCTTGTGGTGTGCTTTGTTAAAAACAGTTACATAAGATGCATGAAAGGACCTTTTTTGAAAATGGTCATGTACAATCATTCAAAGTTTTGAGAAAAGGACCACATTCTTGGGCTTATGATTCTTTTTGTTTTTGAGGAGCATGCCCATTATTATTGTAGAAAGCAATGAAAAAGAACAATAAAAGTATAATCTACCGATAAACATCAAAATATTGAACAAAAAACATAATTTATTTATAGCGTTAAATCACAATAATTTTTTTGGTATTAAATTTTTTAAATTTAAATAATAAGTCGCATCATCTAATTTTGGGGCCATTTTTTCCGTCTCGCTCTGGATCCAAAATACGTTTGGACCGGCCCTAATCTCTAATAATCAATCAACTTCGAGAGCATATGTCTTAAATGGATGAAACATTTCGTTCACCCTCTCAATGTGGTTATGTGACAATAAGTTGTCATTAATATGTTCGTTGTCTACTTTCAAGATGGCGAATTGAAATACTTTCTGTAGTATTAATTATGAGATTTTTATTTAAAATAAAAGCTTTAACCTCTTCCAAATGTTGTTCTTTTTCTTTTTGTTCTTTTTTTTTAAAGGAGAAAATTATAAAAAACTAATGAATTATAAAAGCTCTCATTCACTCAAATACTTAGGGGTGTTCGTTTGGATGGATCGGTTTGATCCGATCCAATCAAGTGAATCCAAATTGATTTCGGTTTTCAAAACATGGATCCAAATAATCCAAACTAAATTCAAATCCGATCCGATCCGATCAAATTACAATTCGGTTGGATCGGTTTTTATAATTCGGTTTTAAAAAACCGAAACATTTTAAAATGACATATAATTATAATATTACCAAACTTTACACAAGAAGCGAAAACAAATCATTTAGTTGTGATTTGAAATTTATAAACAACTACTAATAAGATATATTATAGTTAAATATTTTATAGATAGAAAACTTTTAAGAGAAAATGCATATTAATGTTTTTTTTATCGGGTGAAACGTTTTGAACCTATTTGAAAAAATAAATTACAAAATTAATAAATAACTATAGATATATATTATAGATAAATAGATAATAAATGTTTATTCGGTTTTTTTGGACTATTCGGTTCTTATTATATAAACCAAAATTAATCCGAAATCCAAAATAATAATTCGGTTTTGTTGAAAACCAATCCAAAGATCCGAATATCCGAACCAAATAGTCCAATCCAAATTGTCCAATTGGACAATTCAGTTTTATCCAAACAGTAAACAACCCTACAAATACTCAACCTAATGGATAGAATAATTAAAATAATTAAAAAAATGTGGTAGGACCATTTTGTCCTCTCACCACATAAATGCAAGCAAGTGTTGCACTTTCTTTCTCTATATAAGCCAACCATGCGTACCCCTCAAAAAACACACCAACAAACAAACAGTTTAAGTGAGAATCTCGCAAAAATATATCCAATGGAGTCCTACACAAAGCTAGTTATTGTAGCTCTAGTTCTGGTTGCAACTATTGTGACTGAACCGATGACTACAAATGGTTTCTCCATATGTGGGGTGACCACCGATGGCCTAAAGACCTGCCAGCCGGCGGTGGCAAAAGGTGTGGACCCTCTTCCACTACCAACACCCGAGTGTTGTGCTGCCCTCACTAAAGCTGATATGCCATGTCTCTGCAAGTTGAAAGACTCAAGCTTGTTGCCTATTTACGAAATTGACCCAACCCATGCAATGGAGCTACCTGCAAAATGCAAATTACCTCAAGCCACCTACCATTGTTAGATAGATCAAATTTCTGGTCCTTTTGTCGTCTTTGTTATAATATATCCTTGTTTATTATGGCTGCGTTTTGTGTCTTGTTTAGGGTTTAATTAGTATTCCATTGAAGTAAGGTGGGGCTGCAGGAGGTGAAATGGTGGTGGTGTAACAGTTTGTGATCTTGTTTGACCAGCTCAGTATTATAAAGTTTATGTTTATGTTTTTGTGTTGGTATCTGTTATATATATATATTTGTTTCGTACGTACAAATGCTATTTAGAAAACTATTATTTCCAATGAAAACTTATTTTTAGATGTAATTTAAATAAACAAAGTCTTGTCAAACGCCTTGCCATTAAGCACGAAATGAAAATATATATAAAAAATATGGGCTTGAGTTGAAACGACCGAGTGAGTTGGGTTGTCACGTAAACATTAATTTGTTTCTTTTTTAAAGAATAAACTACACAAATGGTCCATTGGTATGATTGATTTGACAATTTAAGTCCAACCTTTTTTTTCTTGCACCAGTTATCCTTATGTAGTTATCCTTATGGTGGGTTTTTCTTGCACAAATGGTCCATTCGACTCATGACATTTAAAGGTGTCCGTTAACCCTATCCATGTGCCTTGCACGCAAGGGAATTTACATCTTTTATTTTGTACATTGGGTTATAACCTGTGGGCTTAGGTTATTCTATTAAAACTAATTATTGTGTTATTGTATGTATAAATGTGGACCAATCATTTTACTTATTTTAAGAAAGTGATTAATACATATTATTGAATTAAAAATAATTGAAAAATACCATCTAATTTAACTAGAAGGGTATTTTAGTCAATTAATACATATTTAATAAAAGAAATTTGCATATTTTAAGGGATCATAGATTCTATTAATTTTAAAAATCCGATTTTTACTAATTATAAGGTTTTTAATTCGGACATTCTGACAGAATATGTTTGAGTATGTTCAAAAATAATAATATTCTAGAATAACAAATTTCTTGATCATGACTTTAAAAATTTCTTGTAGAATAACAAATTCTCGAACCAGCAATTGAAGAATTAAAACAAAAATTACATTAATTCTTATAGAATACATGTAACAATTGTTAAGAATTACATTTATTGTTAAAGAATAAAACTAAAAAACTTTCAAATCGGGAAAAAAAACATCAAAATCTAACAAATACACTAATTCATTCTAAAAGAATAATGTTGCTAAGAAACACTTTTAATTTTGTTGACCGTTCTTCAAGCATCAACTTCTGTGAAAACAAATCCAATTGTAGTTTAGAATCCAATAACGCATTAGCAAATGATAAATAAAAAACTATATTCCTTTGGAAAAATAAGCGGACTTGTTAACTGCACCAAAACCAATAACCAAAAATTGTAGAACATGTATAATCAATGAGAAAAAATCCATATTCCATTCCAACAGAATTAGAATTCGTGTTTCCATTCCGATAGAATTTGAATTCGTGATTCTATTCCGATAGAATTAGCTTACCACATAAATCGTTGATCCTTTTGGCCATTTCCTTTACATCTTTCCAAAGTCAAAAGAAAGTCAAACATACTGAAATATCTAATGCAATAGATGTATACACACTAATTGGTATTTAAGAAATGGTACAGAAACTAACAGCTTCATAGTGTATAGCAGCATCTTCTGAATGAAGCATTAGAACAAGGGTGGGCAGAGCATTACATTCCACTATCTGCAAATGTTTCATGGATATATTAGACAAAATTTAGTTCTTGATCCCAAAAAGAAGCTTCACTAAATTATAAAAGCATCAACCTGGTTTTTGTTTTCATCATTTTTGAAAGCTAGTGTACGCAAGGCCCCCGCTGCAGCTCTTTGCACTTTAGCATCACTGGATTCTAACAATTCAACAAGTGGTGGAATGCCACCTTCAACCCTAAACATGAAAAAATGTGATGAACTAAAGGTACTAAAATACATTAATAGCATCTGAAAAAGATGGAGGGAAACAGACCTAACAAGGGTCTTGATGCTGTTATTTTAATGAGCAAGGTTGGTGATTGCATCAGCTGCTTTCCTTATGGCACCATTCAGCGCTCGAGAACTTTGGCCATCCAGGTGTCTCTTAAGAATACCAACCAGATGAGGTAAGGCTCCAGCATCCACTATGTGTTGTTGATGCTTAGGCTGTTAAAACAATGGGAAGGTTTTTGAAAGTGTTCAGAAATTGTTTGTGAACGGATTCAAGAGGAAACAATCTATCGCCATTAATAACAGTAATTTTATCAAATATAATCTTTTGGATTCTCGTTTATTTTAATTGACAAGGTTATGCAATTCAAATGAGTACCCACCTTAATTGCAAGAAGTCCGAGAGTAAAAGCACTTCCTTTTTCCACCTCATGTTCATACGGTATTGTGCCAGTAACAACCTCTTATGGTGACTGTGGCGCTTGAAGATGTCGTACTAGGGCTGGAACAACACCAGATTCGACGATCAAGTTCATAATATCCTCTGAAACAACATGAAATGGGTGTGGGTGGATTGTGTGTGTGTTTTGTGTGCGACTGGAATCGAGAGAGGGAGAGAAGCTGAGAGTGAGAACGAGGAAGAGTCCATGGATTCTCATACAAGCGATGTTGATCGAGAAGTGGTATCACAAGAGAGAAGAAGAAAACGGGTTTCAAGTTGATGATCAAGGAATTCCCGATTTGTGTGTGTGAAAAAGATTTCCAGCAACCCCAAATTTATATAATAAGAACCCTAATCGAAAATCATACCTAGATCGTGAAAAGGGGATAAATCGGGACAGAAGGGGATAAGTCTGTAAAAGGGGATGTGTTGTTGGCTTTCTCCAATCTCGCCACCTGGTTGGGACAGAAGGGCAGTGGATACGGTGGTCGGAGGAGCAAGAGGGTAGGGTGGCGGCCGGTGGTGAGAGGCATAAGGATGGAGGTGACGGCTGGAGATGGTTTGATTAGGGTTACAGTGGTTTTAAAAAGCCTAGTAGCTGAAGTCAATGGTTACCATAATTATAGGATATTATTTGTGGAAACTAATTATCAAATTACCTATTTACCCTTATTCATTTATTTAATTATTTATTTTTATTTTAAATTAAAATATATAGAGTATAAAAATCTTAATCATTAATAATGAATGTACAAAATAGTTATTTTTATATAGAATTTGATATTTTATTCTTAAATCTATCATCGTTATTTCTTAATTAATATCTAAAATCGTTGTTTTTAATTAATATTTAAAATTGTTTCAAAACTTCAAAGGAAACAATACCACTGTTTTTTTTAAATCTTATAATGGAACATAAAGACATACATAAATAAAAAGAATAAAATTCAAATCTATATAGATAAATAAAAGCTAAACAATTAAAAACCAAATAATATTTAGATTGGAAACCGATATTTTAGTTTGAGATAAATAAATTAGTTGGCAGATGTTTCATAAATTATAAATTTTATCATTTAAAAAAAATATGGGAACAAAGGGTAGATGTTAGTCCAATTAACATTAAGAAAACACTACAAGAGGAAAACCATCTTATCCTTCAACACAAGATTTCATTGTCTTTGTCCATAGTAAATAACATCTTTGATTTTTCATATCTAATGTTATAAATAAAATCAAAACCTAATCGAGTAATCCATAACGGTAGTTTATTTTTGACTTACATGCATAAAGAACGACTTAACAGAGAAAGTATGGAACTGAATTTGGCCTTATTTATTTATCCACAGTAAAAAAAAGAGAGAATTAGGTATTAGTGGCTAATGAATTACCTTTGAAATAATTGAGTGCATGTGATTGCCTTCCAAATAGAAAACCTGGTCTTTTATACCTTGATGTAAAGAGATATCCATGTGAAAGGGAAACTTATTGACAAACAAACCACCATGATTTCCATTTTCGCATGTTAAAAACAATGTTTAATTGCATCTTCATTTGGTCATACTCTTTATTGCTTGTAATTACCATATACATAAGCCGTCAAAGCCTTTAGAAAGTTTTGTTCATCAGATCTTGCAATGTGTGTAACATAAAACTATCAGAAACAAAGGAGATTATGTAACATCCCAAAAATACCAATAAAATTTTCATTTTTAAACCATCAAATCCATACAAACATTTATTTGAAAACCAATCATAGTGTAATATATCTCTCATACGTCAAAGTAAAACAATAATAGTCAGTCGGAAAATGCCATCGGGGGAATGTTGTGCAGTCTAGCCGGGCCCTTCATTTTGGAACTGGAAGTACCTGAAAATATTTAAACCACAAAACTGTAAACAAAAAGCTTAGTGAGTTCCCAAAATACCACATACCATACATAAGATAATGCATGTTATGGGCTAATTCATAGTCTTATAGTCACTTCCTGCCATGGGCCAAATCATGGTATTTCCTTGCAATGTCGAGGGCCAATTCTGGTCTTATAAACAAGTGTCAGGGGCCATATCCTGGTCTTCTATGAAAGTATCATGAAGACAACTAGCATCCTACATACAAATGTCAAGGACCAGATCCTGGTCTTCCATGCAATTGCTAGGAGCCAAATCCTGGTCTTTCATACATATGCCAAGGGCTACACCCTGGTCTTCCATGCAAGTATCACAAAGACAACTACCATCCTACAGAGTATAGTGAAAAGACCTACCTCACAGACGTAGTCTATAGCTAACAACTTTCATAGCCAATGAACGAGTGATATACACCTCCTAATAAACTACACAAAGTAAACCCTTACCCCACCTTCCAAAAGTATCCAATTGACCGAAAGTCAACCATGGTCAAAAGTCGATGGTCAAATCCAACTTCAGCAAGTCTCCACGTCGCGACCTCCTATTTGACATGCCGTGGAAAAATAATGAAAAAATAGGCGTGCATCCCCCCAGGTCGCCACGTCGTGGCGGTCAAAATTCCATGTCATGGAAACTGGTCTCAACAGCTAAATAGATTAAGCGGTTTTCCTTCCACTTCATGAGCTACAAAGCTCAGATCTAGTCCTTTCCAAGGTATTGATGGATTAAGTTTCCAATTTTATCCATTAAGGCATCCCAATAAGTCAATATCCCTAAACCTAGGTCCTTAACAACATCATAAGGCATGAACTCAACCATTAAGCACTTAATCACCAAATCCACAAGTCCATAACTTCCAGAAGGATTTCCTACACCTAAATCATCATAAAATTTAGTGATTTATGGACATGCATGTATCTTCCAAAATAGGTAAAAAAACATGGAAAAAATTAACTCAAATTTGTCCATGAGACCAAATACACCATAAAACTCTAGATCTAGATCATATAAACCCAAGGGCCTCATAAATTCATAAAGTTGCCAACTTTATGGAATCCATTCCTCCAAACTTCCACAACATGAAGAAAAGGGGACAATGAACCTATATCTAGAAGCATGCAACATAAAGCTTGGCTCTTGAACACTTACAATGGTCTAAACATTTCTCAAATGAAATCTCTAAGCTTATCTAGAGGTTCTCTACACCACAAGGGTCTTCTTCTTCCTTCCAAAAGCATATAATCACCAAAAGTAAGCTCAAATATGGAGGAGATGGTATTAGGGTTTACTTCAAGGTTCTTGGAGGTGATTGAGGATGGAAATGATGCCCTAAATATAAGGTTAGAGGCTTAAATACAGAGGAAACCCAAAAATTATGGGCTTGGGCCAAAACAGTCGCCACGTCATGACATTTCTCTTGCCACGCCATGGGACTCATCTGAAAAACACAATAATTTAAGCCATGCCACTTCATGTGTGACATCCTCAAATTCACGGTAATTTTAAAAAATTTATTTATGCTTATTCAAAAATCAGAGTGTAACACCCGTCAAAATTAGGTCAATAATAATCACATGTGATTATGCCAATCATGTAATGTGATTTTGTTAAACTAGTAAAGTGACAAACTTACTATGTAATTCATGATAAATTCTAATACAAATATGAACTTTTATGATACAACTCAAAGTATACGTCCATACGATTCCAAAAATATAGACAACGTCTAAATCTGACTTCGCGTGAAGAAGTTATGATAAACCGAACACTATAAATCTCTATAATAAGAGGAATTTAAAATAGACTTAGAATTAGCTATTGGAGTCTAAAAATAAAGTTGTAATTCTCGTAAATACCTATGCGTGGATATAAAGAACGTCAAAAACGGAGTTCGTATGCAAAAGTTATGGCCTTCCGAAGATGTCGCTGTCAGAAACCCTAATTTGACTGAACTCACGACGTTAAAGCTATGGGATAACTCTTACCATAATTCACGACGTGAACCTATCATTTTTCACGTCGTGAGGGCCAAAAATCAGCCTATAAATAGCCATTTCGACCCCAAGGCTCATTACACAATTTCTACTTTCTTTCTCTCTCGTTGCTGAAGCCGTTTCGCTTCCCGAGCCCGGTGATCGCAAACCGCTGAGCGTTTTCAGTTAGATTCCGTCAAAGTACGATATTAAGGTTAGTTTCACGGACCCACTTTCTAATATTTTGGGGGAAAACGCATTGTTAGAACCGCTGTCGCGCACGTATTAAACAAATAAATTTATCACTGTTGGTTGCACTAAAAATATAGCACAGGGAAGCAGGGTCGAATCCTCAGGGACACAGCCTAAAAGTCAATGCCTTTTTGCATCAGGCACATCTAGTCAAGAAACAGAATATAAAAGGGGGGTTTTTGATTAAAACTAATAACTAGGAATGCAGTGATAATAAAGTAAACGAAAATCAATAATAAAAATGGTTTCAGCTCTGCTGTGACTTTCCTAATCATGCAACTGATCCAGATCTGATTATTTGAGATGCGTTCTATCTATGCTGGTACTGAGAAAAACTAACAAGCTCTAGTAATTTCTCTTTTACCTTATTTAGTTAACCAAAACAAGCTCTTCAATTAACCCTAACTTTTTACTGTCTAATCAAACAAGCTCTTAATTAAGATCAGAAAAGTTGCATTAAGTTCTTTGTAAAATTTCGAGCAATACCCAATACTTCTCACAAGCTCGGAAGCGTAAATGTATGATTTTTACAGTTTATAATAAAGTCAAATCCCAAACACGGAACCGATTTATTACTTGTTACTTATTACCAATTAATTAGAACAATTACGGATTCTATTAACTGATTAACTGGAATGATAAAACCCTAGCTAGGTGATCAGACTAACAAGAATCAAAATCAAACATTCATTAAGAACAAAACTGAAGAATCTAAATAGAAACACAAATCAAAAACCAGATCTAATGATCAATCACATGAAAAGTACTTGTCTTATGCAGAACTGAAAACTAGGGTTTAGCCAGACATGGCCAAAATCTGATCTAAAACAATAAAAAGAAACATTAAACTACTAAATCTTACTAAACTAAACGTAGGAGATGATCCACAGTCTTCAGATCTTCAGAAATTGCTAAAATCGGAGAAGAAACGCCTCCAAAATCGTATTTTCGTCGTCTGGTACCTCTGGAATCGCCAACTTGGGTTACAGGGATGCTATCAGGGTCTATTTATACGTCCAACAGCAAAAACAACGCACCTGTGATCGCATGTACACAACCTGCGATCGCAGGTTTTCATTTTTCACTTCCGGATGAATTTTTGGCACAAAAGAACCTCGAAGACAAGTTGCGACCTAACCTGCGATCGCAAAAAGGCCCCATGCGATCGCATGAAGGAAACCTGCGATCGCAGGTTATGCCTAAGACGTCCGAAATTTCGTCTACTTTTGAGATCATTTTGAATCGCGTCAATCGGAGTTACGGTTCTCGAGATATGGTCAAAATACTGACAGGGGGTCAAAGTTGCCAGCAACATCCTTTAACTTTAGATTGCAGATTCTTTCTTCGTGTGATCAATTCGATCGAATGTTTCTTGACCAAAGCATCTTCCAAACATT